CGGGTGAGTTATTTCTTCCGAATACCATTCGACGAACTTCATATCCATATAGTAATATGGAGCGCACCGCAGCATTGTAAACTAGACCCTTGACGGATAAGCTGATGTCACGCCTACGCCGCAGGTGACGCAGGTTCAAAGAAGCTGCTCTGGTCTTCCCAATCCGGATAAAAATACCATCTTTCGCGAGACCACCGGGACTGATACAGCTGCCCAGGTGATCAAATCTGTCTACTAACTCAACCGGCCCCCGCAAGCATGAGGCTAGGGCTCGAGCCAACACAGTCTTGCAGTAGCACTTTACACTTTGCAGGTGTGAAGCGCATGTCGAACCGTGAGGCAGAATTATTTAGATTGTTTGATATTGTTTGCATTACCACGGGGCCCAATCCCAGAAGAGCTATGTCTTCTGCGTACTCGATATCAGTGAGCGGACGCCCCAGGAGCACTTCGACTTCACAGGCATTAGAGGCTGGTAGTGAGTCTTCCATGGTCGTATCAATGACGAAGTTGAAGAGGAAAGGTGAAAGAGGACAGCCCTGTCAGATACCACTTGATGTGGTGAACCCAGGCGAGAGCTGACCGCAAACCTTCACACGGTCGCGGAAGTTGGCGTACGGCGCCTTAAGGAGGGTCAATTTATGGGGGACACGTTTGTTCCACAGACACTGCCATAGTGCTTGGCGGTCCACAGAGTCCAAGGCAGCTTTCAGATCAAGAAACAAAACCATTGTTGGCTGCTGGAAGCAGTGTCGCTGTTCCAGAATTTGTCGGAGGGTGAAGATATGATCGATGCAACCTTTTTCAGGACGGAACCCAGCTTGATTTTCACGAATCTGTCTTTCCCTGTGTTCAGTCAATCTTCGAAGAATAAGGCCAGAGAGTACCTTTGATGTCACAACTTACAGGCTGATGCCACGGTTGTTTTCACACAGCATCCGTGTACCCTTTTTGAAGATAGGGATAACTGTCGACATGCCCTATTCTGCAGGCACCTTTGCTTCGTTCCATATAATACCAATAAGCTTTGTCAGATGGGTTACCATGACCCATTCCTCACCCGCTATTTTTTTCCTCTTTCCATTATGAGGCTTCAAATATAATTAGATAAACTTTGGTTGTACGGTACTCAATCATCAGCGTCAGCACTGACGTTATTGCATCTGCCTATGATGCTCTAAACTACGGACTTGGAATTTCCCTAGGATGCATGAGCCGAGTTTGCGGATATAAAGGACCACCACTGCACACAAGATGGCATTGTAGGAACGTTTATGTGAGACCTCCATTCCACCAGGGGCGCTTCACATCCGTTCAAGTATGGTAAAAAGCTTTCAGATTTGTTGCTACTCAACTCGGATTTCTCCGCTGTACAGTGTGATGGAGTGTGAAGACGTTGCTCATGTAGCCACTTACCCGATGGGATCCTGCTTGATATTCTGGGGTCTCGTCTTCGCGCTGCTCTTCAAATTAAGACGTCATCGACGAAAATATTCTGTGGCGTTTGTCTATCGAATCGCTCTTCAACCGTAGCGCTACCTGGAGGCACCATTTGTGAAAATCGGTGCCACTTTTGACTCGTCCCAGTTGAGATGTTTTCCTTTTCCCATTCCTAACCAAGTGAGTTATACATGCACCTTCTAGAGATTTCATCTCCAACGTTAAACTGGGTTGATACTATCGTTTCAGAAGAGCTTGGTAAAAAATCGGTAGTTTTTATTTGGGCAACGTTTCGCTT